GTACTAAACCATCTATAGTAAATTGTGTTTTATTTTGAATTATTTTGTATAATCACACTACTTTGGTACTAATCAAGTTTTAAATTGATACAATAAGTATTCAAATTGATAAAATATTATAATCTCGATATTTAAGTTTATAAAAAGTTTTAATTTATAATTAGAGGATGAAGAAAGAGCAAGTAAAAAGGGAAAATGTAGCTGGCTCTTTTTTTGTTTTGTGAATTCCACTTATTGGGCCCCATGGGCCATAGTTTCAATATAACTGGAGTAAGGATAAGTCTACTCCTACTGGCCAAACAACTTTTAATCGGAGAAGAGTGAGATTGGATCACTAAAATCAGTCGAAAACAGTCAAGTCTGTTGTCTCTCCGGCAAAGCGATTCCGGCGAATATCGAACACATCCGATCCACTTGAGAGAGTGAAATAGTAGAGGTTTCTATTTTGTTCGTCTTTCATGGCGAAGGATCAACACTTGCGACCTTGGTTTCTGGATCTCGTACCTGCTTTGGTTGTTTTTCTCGCCGCAGCTCATGTCATCGCCTTGGTACTTCCTCGTGAATCTTATCGTCTTTTTTTGTCTGCTTATATGTTCCAATCGTTGATTTGGTTTCGGATTTATGGGGTTTTTCGCAGGGTTACTGGATTTACAGATTAGCCACTGATCGTAGGCCTCAGAGAGGAAAATTTCACTGAAGAAATGTTGAATAGGTTCGTAACTTGAACTATGGTGTTACTGCAGTCTCAGAAACTGGTGGATTTTGCTTCCGATCTGATGTGGTTTTTGTGAACTGATTGATCATTGATTTTGTCGCTTATGAGGATTTTGGAAATGTTTTGCTTTGATTGCTGCTTAATCAGAAGAAGAGTATTTCATTTCCAACGATTTTGGAAGATGTTGTTAGGTGGTGGATCATATCTATTCATTAGTTCGTTTTCACTTTTCACCTATGTTCTTAGCCTATACCGACTTCTATGGATTTTTGGGTTGTTCTAAATAGATTTTATACAAGTTCCAATCATTGTTTCATTACACAACTGTACTTTACAATCTGCAGCCAGTAAATTTGATAGGAAACCAAGTGTTCTGTGCTTAATGGTTGTATTGAGTTCTTAAGCACGATGCTTGTGTTCTTCGTTCAGTAACACCTTGAAGATCGTTCTGCGTAAAGGAATATTTGCTCTCCTGTGATAAGTCTTAGAAAGAGATTTCAGATATTGCCTAATGCTACATCAGCTTAACTAACTCTGTCTTCCTGTTAACATATTAGTTGGTCTTTGATGAGTATTAAGTGTAGGATTGAATAGAATCAAGGGAACATTTTGGTATTGGGTTGTTAGAGAGAGCGTTAGGGTTTGGGAGAGTAGGGTTTGTTCTTGGATTTCTCTTGTTTGTTCATTGATTCATAGTGAAAATTAAAAGCAGAAATCAGTTTGGTTCTTATCATCCTGCTTTCTCGGTCTATGTTTCTGTTTGAGTCTCTTACTATTCTCACAAGCATATCACTCAATAGGTGGTTTCATATGTGGCAGGTATGCTTCACTGTTGTTTCACACAATGTCTGAAGATGTAACCAAGAGTGGAACACTGTGTTCGAAAACCATTTTATTTGGCTGGAAAGTGATATTAAGTAGTCAGTTTTCAAAACAAAGATCACAATTGTGGGATTTTATAGGTTGTGTAAGTTTTGGTTTGATTTAGAATTTGGTGATAAATAAAAGGGAATTTTTGAAAAATACACCAATTATGTTTGAAAATTTGCAAAATACACTTTGATTTTTTGGTTTTTGAAAAATACCTCTTTCAATAGTTAAAAAATATGTTTTGTCCTTATTTGATTTAACAACTAATTAATTCGTAAATAGAATAAAAAATTATTATTATTTCTCTTTTTAATTGAGATAAAGTTGTGTTATTGATTTAAAAATGAATTAATTCGTAAATATAATTATTATTAATATTATTTTTCTTTTTATTTGAGATAAAGTTGTGTTACTGATTTAAAAATTAATTAATTCGTAAATATAATTATTATTAATATTTTTTATTTGAAATAAAGTTGCTATTGATTTAAAATTTAATTCATTCGTAAATATAATTATTATTAATATTTTTTTATTTGAAATAAAGTTGTTATTGATTTAAAATTTAATTCATTCGTAAATATAATTATTATTAATATTAATTTTCTTTTAATTTGAGATAAAGTTGTTTTGCTGATTAAAAATATAAAATTTACTACTAATTATAAAGAAGATAAATCTCTTGTCATATAAATGACGTTTATAATCTTCAACATTTATTACATTATAAACTATTTAAAATAACACCATACATTTCTTATATAAAGAGGAGTATCAAGTTTTTGAAACAAAGTTAGAAAACTTATAATGTTGATACGACATTTCATGAATTATTTTCTTGGACTTCCTTATTTTATGTAAACCTTCTAATTGAGTTGTTTTAAGAAATATTTTATGGCATATTAATAGTAAATATTTTTTTTTTGTAAAATTATAATTTCAGATAAATATTATATAAGATTGTCTATAATCTGAAAACAAATATACAATAAATCTTATAAAATATATGATCAACACTAAAAATGATGTTAAATATATATATCACAACAAACTAAATTTTATTTAAAATATATAATTTTTTGTTCAGATTTTATGATGATATTTTGGTAATTTCAAATCCAATAAAGTGTATTTTTCAAAACTGAAAAAAAAAGAGGGATATTTTTCAAATTTAAGAAGTCAAGAAAGGCATTTTTCCAAATTTCCTCTAAATAAAACAAGCCTTTTACATGGCAGATTTACGAGAGCAAATTATAACTTTCACATCAAAAAACTGTTGGGACCAATTTTTGGAATAAACAAATGGGCCTTGTATTGGGCATTTGTGTTATGCAAACTTGGTAGAAAAGTGAATGAGAAAAGCTTTTTGGTTTGTTAAGTGAGAGACATGTAAAAAGTCCCACATCTAAAGTTTGGGAATTTTACATGTGGTATATAAGTAGACACTCATGTGTCTATGTTCAAAACATAACAAAAGCTATATACCATGTGAGAGAGGAGGGGAATCCCACGCGCGCCGACCGACCGAACCGAACCAGGCCGGGCACGGGCACGGGCTTTGGCTAATGGGTCTTTAAGACCCGAATAAGTATTTTTTGGACCAAGTAAATGAGCTTATAAACCCTTATAAACCCATTTCGTTTTGTATCAAAACACTGCGTTTTGATGCAGTTACAGGCGGGTTTAACAAAAACTGATCCAAAATAACTTCTCTGCGGTTTTACTGTGGTTTTAAAAAGAAAAATCTTGTCTCTCTTCTCTCTTTACGCACTCTTAAACACAAAACAGAAAGTTCGATCCAACAACAATCTC